CTGTCGATGGACATCTTGGCTCTTGCCATAGTTTGGCTATTGTGGACATTGCTGCTATAAACATTGGGGTATACATGCCCTTTCAGATCACTACATTTGTATCTTTGGGGTAAATACCCGGTAGTTCAATTGCTGGGTCATAGGGTAGCTCTATTTTCAACTTTTTGAGGAACCTCCATACTGTTTTACAGAGTGGCTGCATCAGCTTGCATTCCCACCAACAGCGTAGGAGGGTTCCCCTTTCTCCACATCCTCGCCAACATCTGTCGTTTCCTGACTTGTTAATTTTAGCCATTGTGACTGGTGTGAGGTGGTATCTCATTGAGGTTTTGATTTGGATTTCCCTGATGCAGAGCGATGTTGAGCACATTTTCACGCGTCTGTTGGCCATTTGAATGTCTGTTCATGTCTTCTGCCCATTTCTTGATTGGATTATTTGTTCTTTGGGTGTTGAGTTTGGTAAGTTCTTTATAGATTTTGGATACTAGCCCTTTATCTGATATGTCATTTGCAAATATCTTCTCCCATTCTGTCGGTTGTCTTTGGTTTTGTTGACTGTTTCTTTTGCTGTGCAAAAGCTTTTTATCCTGATGGAGTCCCAATAGTTCATTTTTGCCCTTGCTTCCCTTGCCTTTGGCGATGTTTCTAGAAAGAACTTGCTGCGGCTGAGGTCAAAGAGGTTGCTCAGGCCAGCTGTCTTGTAGAATGTTCCACGCTCTGGATTTTCCTCATGGTGTCATTCACCTTGTTCCTTTCGTCCAGGTTATTTCCTGACAGCTGGAAGGTGGGTCCAGAAGTTTGACAAGATTCAGCTTACACATTTCTGGCAAGAATACTGCACAGGTGACCCTGAGTATGTCATGTTGTGTTTTATCAGGTATCACAAAATGTCATGGTGTCCTACTGTGACTGACACTTGATCTGTTAAGATGCCAGCTGCTAGAACTTTCCGCTGAAATGCTGTTTTCTCCCTCTTGCCCTTAGAAAGCAGTGGGGAGATAACTTAGCCCCCTGTACATATCCTTGTCTGCAGCGATCTTGAGAGCAACTCCTGATGGCTTCATAGCATGAATTTTAAGCTCCTTCAACGAGCTCTTTTGTATTTCTTATGAATCCTAGGTTATAAGTGTTCATTTGGTTGTTCTTCAAAAACAGCATCTTGCTCAATGCTGATAGAGAAGTTCTGCAAATATGTGTAAACATTTCCTGTCGGGGACAGCTGGAAACACTTACCCTGAAACATCCCCACTGGGTAGTGGAGGACTCAGTTTTGCTATGAAAACCTTCTTCACTTTCCACCAGCACCCAGGGTTTTCAGAGTGACTCACAAGATAGATAGGCTTCCCGCTGCCAAGGACTCCATTGTGTTCTCCTGGTACAGGGGGTTTCAATCCTGATTATACATCTGAGTCATCGTGGGAGCTTTAAACTATCCTGATCCTACTCCAGACCATTTGGATCTGCATCTGTGAGAGTGAGATCAAGCATAAATATACGGTAAAGGCTTTCCAGGTGATTCTATTGGGCAAGCCAGGTAGGAACCACTGAAAAAGAAGTTCCTTCTAAAAGGAAAAGTGATTGTCACCGTTTAACATCAAGATCCTATATACCTTTCTCCAGAATCATGGTTGCCAAACTTGGGCTGCACATTAGAATCACTGGGGGGATTTGAAAACTCCTGATGGCCAGGTTACACACTATATCAGTGAAATGGGAATGTCTGGGCACAGGAGGCAGGCATCAGCATATTTGAAAGATTCCAGGCAAGTCCAGAGCACAGCTAAGTTTGGGAATGACTACACTGAAGAAGCAGCTGTGGTTTGCTTGAAAGAACATGAACTCGGGAATCAAACAGCTCTGCTGCTCGCTACCTGTGTTAACTTCTTAGCCTAAATTGTTTTTGAGGAGAAGAGGGAGAACAATGCTATCTTACAGTTTTGTTGTCTGGATCTGGAGAGAATAGCTGTGCTAGCACATGAAGGTTAGTACCCATTCTGCCCCTTGGATTAGTTTCTTATCGCTGCTGTACCAAATTACCACAAACATCGTGGCTTAAAGCAACACAAGTTTATTCTCTTAGCATTCTGTTGGCCAGAAATCCAACATGGGTCTCAGCGGGCTAAAGCTGAGATATTGGCAGGGCCACATTCCTTTCTGGAGACTCTAGGGAAGGATCTGTTTGCTTGCTGTTTCCAGCTTCTAGAAGCCACCTGCATTCTGCAATCATGTCTCCCTTTCATTTCAGAGCGAGGGATGGCCAGTAATCTTTCTCACATTATATCACTCGGACTCTTCTACCTCTCTCTTCTACATTTAAGGACCATCCAGGCGCACCAGGGTGGCTCAGTTGGTTAAGCTTCTGCCTTTGGCTCAGGTCATGATCCCAGGTTCCTGGGATGGAGTTCCACATAGGGCTCCTTGCTCAGTGGGGAGTCTGCTTCTCCCTCTGCTCCCCACCCCCACCCCTGCTCATGCTCGCTTGTAGGCTCTCCCTCTCTCTCTCTCAAATAAATAAATAAAAATCTTTAAAAAAAAAGGACCATCCAGATGATCCAACATAATCTCATTGTTGTAAAATAGCTGATTAATAACCTTAATTTCCCTTTGCCAAGTTATGTAACATATTCACAGGCACTGGGCATTCTGGAGAGGTCATTATTTTGTCTACCACACCCTCAATACCTTTCCCTTTGATCAGGATACAAAACATAACTGTAGGTTCATGTCGACTGATGTCCTATAAATACACGAGAGTCTTGCTAATGTTCGATGAACATGACCAACTAAATGAGACCTATTGGAGGTCTTGTTTTGTTATTTGTCCTACTAACAGACCCCTTCCCTGTTGCTCTGTCGGGGGCCAGGCTCCCGTGTTTGTCTCACATGATCCTGCAGCATAACCAGTGCAGAGTGGGCCACGGGGGGCCAATGAAAGAGCTTGCCAACACCTCACTGGAATTTGCCTTAAGAACTGGAGGGGAGAGACGCGGATAACTGTCATCAGTGGTTGCCGCGTTCTGGAATCAAAGGGGTTGTAGAGACGGGACTGAAGTTGCCAATATGCTAACGCAATGCTAGTCAGGGTTTGAAAGAGGCAAGAGCCAGCTGAGCTCACACAGAGAGGAAGCGGTTCTGCAGAGATGACAGCTGAGTGCATTTACCGAGGGAAGCCAGCATGCAAGACTTTCCCCACAGCTTTGGCTCTATTTTAGAAAATAGCGTTTTGAACAATTATTAAGAACTAGAACTTGTGACAGGGGAGAGAATTAAAGAGGCTGATTATGAGTTCCAAAGATTGTTTATAAAGTCATAGCAGCGTTCTCTTACTCATGTAACAGGGAAAATGGAGAAAAGAAAGTGAAAAATCAGAAAATCTCATCATCCTACATGTTCCTGATCTTCCATCTTTTATAAATAATAACATAGAAAGTGCTATGGGGGAGGCAATGCATTATTTGGAAGTGTTTTAGGCTAAAACGAGCAACAAAACTGGTTAATGGCAGCTGAACTCCAAGGACATTTAATTTTATTTAACAAGAAGGCCAGAGTGATTCCAGGGTTTGTTCTGAAGTTCCATGATGTCATCAAGGACACCCCATCCTTCTCCCCACTCTCTCCAAAGAAGGACATTCCCAACTATTGGCTTCTCATTCTTGTTCTGGTGACCTCAAGGTCGCAAGATGGCTGCCACAACTTGAGGTATTTTGGCTTCACATCAGCTTTCCAAGGTAGAAGGTAGAAGGTGGGGGTAGTGCATAGAGGCTATATTCTTCTGAGGTTCTGTCATTTTATGTGAGATAGGGACCACCCCACCCCCACCCCCCAGCCAACATCTCCCTACATCTCTTTGGCCGGAACAGGCTCACTTGCCCACCTCTAACCCAACACCATCAAAGGGGAATGGGACAAGATGATGACTTAGACAACACACAGTGAATCGCCTGTGACGGGAATAGATGCCTCCCTGCCTCCCTGTGATGAGTGGATTTCCACCGGTTGAAGTTCTGTTAGCAGAGAAGAAGTGGGCTATGGCTATTGGGTAGCCAATAAACTGTTGGCAACAAGCCAGCAATGAAATAGCTGGAGGAGGAAGAAGAGGAGAAATAGGAATTAGGAAACCACAGACTTCTTGGTTTTGCAAGATAAGAACTGTAGTTATGCCTATTACAGCAACTCCGGCTAAGGCTGCTGAAACCGCATCAGAAATGTATTTTTCCTATATGCTGAAGGAAACTTCCACGTTCTAGGTTAAAGGCCTTGCCTGGGATTTGCTCTCCGCTATTGACCGTCAGATGCTACTTGAGAAACTGCTGTCATTGGCAGTGGGAAGGGCCACATAACACAAGTTCTAAGCATCAGACAGATTTGGGGACTCCTCTTTCTCTCTCCCACCTTGCCCCGAGTAGTTAAAAATAAACACAAAGTCCAACCCATAACTACCAACCCATAACTGCCATGACTAGTACCCATTTCAGTGTTTTTAAAAATAACAATATCAAGGGGTGCCTGGTGGCTCAGTCAGTTGGGCGTTCAACTCTTGATTTTGACTAGGTCATGATCTCAGGATGGTGAGATTGAACCCTGCGTCGGGCTCCACGCTCCGCAGGGAGTCTGCTTGAGATTTTCTCTCTCCCTCTGGCCTCTCCCCCGCCCAATCCATGCATGTTCTCTCTCTCTCAAATAAGTAAATAAATCTTTAAAAAAAATAACAATATCAACTTTTTCCAAAATCATTTTTTGGTAGTTGCAACTTTTCAGATGCCCATAAATATGTGCTTATTCTCTATTTTGGGTAAAGCACCATTGCTCATGGGAATTCTCTAGTTCTGCATGTCATCACTGGAACCCCAGATAATATATAAAAAATTATTTATCACCTCAATGGTTTGAGAGTTAATTGAGACCATCAAAGGGTGACATCCCGAAGGCGTAGCTCTAAGCGACTTCAGTAACGAGGTCAACATATGTAAAGCACAGAAAATACTGCTTGACATAGAGTGAGCTCTACATAAAGTGTTGTTATAGATCTCAAAACTCTTTCAGAATGAAAAGAGACCACATGATGTATACAAGGATGGTACGTTAATGAGAGAGCAGTGGGGAGAGGGGAAGGGTAAGAGGACGAACACTCTCTGATGATCCTCCCTATTCCAGGTACAGGAAAGGCAATGTACATCTCTGTGTTATGACATGTTAATCATGACAGCAACCCCACGAGGTAAGTATTATTACGGCCACTTGACCAGAGAGGAAATTGAAGCTAAGAAATTTGGAGAGACTTGGGCAAGATAAATCAGTAGGCAGCAAAGCTATCTCAGGTCTGTCCCAGCTGACCCGTGCTTTTCTTAAGAATACATGCTACTTTCTTTTTTAATTTGACAGACTCATAGGACAAAATATTTGGAAATGGATAAAAGCTTTAGGCGTTCATAAAAAAGGGCGCCAAACCCACTTAAGCTGGGTGGCTGATGGTGTCCCTGGAGGCAAGTATAATATAGCTTTTGCATAACTCTTGTTGATTATTTATAGCCTTGGAGTTACAAAGGTGAAAAATGTGATTCCTGTCCTCAGAGAACTTACAGGCCAGTGGAGAAACAGAAATGCAAACAAATTCAACACGGTAACTGCTACAGTGGTCACACGTTCAGAACAGAGGTGGATTATGGTAAAAGAAATCCCTACCTGGAAGGGGATTGGAGAAAGATTCACGGAGGATATAATTTTGACACAGGATGCTGGCTAAGGACAAACAGGAGTTTGCCAGGCAGAGAGGACAGAGAGGACAGTCTGTGAAAAGGAGGGAGGCTGAAGACATCTCTGGGAATTGCAAGGAGTTCAGCATTGATGGCTCGTGAAATTTAGAGATAAGAGTGGCAGAAAATAAGTCTCTAGGGGAAACAAGTGCCAGACCTTCCTAAAAGTGTTTAAGTTTCATTGTTTTTAGAAGGAAAATAATAATTATGCAGCACTGTGATGTCACCAAATAAGAAATGACGTGAAAGCATAGAGGTCCAAAGTAATTAATATTTTAACTTTCATGCCTGCCCAAGATTGGAGAGGACCTAAATGTGCACCGATAGAGGACTTGTTAAATACATCTTGTATACACATAAATGAAAAACTATGCAACTATTCAAAAAGAATGAGACAAACCTACAGTGTCCTAGATCAGGTGCTCTAGAAAGCCAAGCTAACAATGTAGGGAGATACAAGCCTCGGATGGCGAGGGGGAGGCCAGTGTGAAGTAAGTCCAGAGAAGGTTCATTGCCATGCAACGTGCTAGCATGCCCACCACATCAACGACTGGAAGAGACACAGCGCTTCGCTCAGCAGGTGGGTTACAAGCAGGAGCCATCTCAGGGTGGACTATGCAGGAGAGGTAGGAGAAGTCACCTGCTTGGCTCCTCCTGTCTCTTGTTTCCAATTGGTGGAGCTTCTCACTTCCCAGTTAGGTCCTGACCCTTGGTGGCACCTGGGTCGCTGGGACCTATGCCTTGTTCTATGGTGTTTCATCTGGGTCCCAAAGTGGAGGGGCTACCAGGTGCAGGAGGAGCACTGACCGAGAGAGAGAAAGAGGGAGCCTGTTGAGGGAATTTTAAAAGGCACGGGAAGAGTTTTCTCCCGATACATATAATGCTGGGCTATAAAGTCTGGAAACATAGACATTATTTTATCACATATTATATGTTGATAAGCTAGCTTTTTTTTTTTAAAGATTTTATTTATTTATTTGAGAGAGAGAGAATGAGAGACAGAGAGCGTGAGAAGGAGGAGGGTCAGAGGGAGAAGCAGACTCCCCGCTGAGTAGGGAGCCCGATGTGGGACTCGATCCTGGGACTCCAGGATCATGACCTGAGCCGAAGGCAGTCGCTTAACCAACTGAGCCACCCAGGCGCCCCGATAAGCTAGCTTTTTTACAAAAAAATTCCTTATGTTTTCTTATGTAGGCACCTTGTGTTTTGGTATAAAACAAGCTTCAGAATGTCCTTTAATTGAATAAACAAGGTACAGCACAGTACATACGCTGCCTGCCAACCCTGGGTAGAATAAAGAATATGTGTGTGGGGCAGAAGCTGGCAAAATAGCTGAAGGAGATTAAAAGGTATAAAATAAATAAGTCATGGGGATACAACGTACAGCATAGGGAATATAGTCAATAATATTGTACTAGTGTTGTATGGTGACCACACTTATCTTGGTGAGCAGTTCACAATGGATACACATGTTGGATCACCAGCTGGTACACCCGAAACTCACAGAATATTGTATGCAGCTATGCTTTGCTAAAAATTAAAAAAAAAAAGTATGTATGCTTATTTCTGCATAGAATTCTTCTGGAAGGAGATCCAAGAAGCCACCAGCAGTGTTTGTCTTTGGGAGGAGGAATTAGGTGGGAGGGGGGTTGAGTAAGAGGAAATTCACTTTTCACCATATCTCTTTTTGTGCTTTTCTAAGTCTGCACCCTGTCAGACTATAATTTATTCGTCTGAAAACTTACATTACACTGAGAAACCCATTTTTAATGTTAGTGTCAGGGTGGCTGGTAAAACAGGCGGCAAAGAATTACACCAAGAGTAGAACCACCAGCAGGACAGAGTTTATTTAGTCTCTGAGGCTGGAGAGGGACCCAACACCGAGAGAGACGTCGCCCCCCAGTTTCCGTTAGGCTGGGCCTTCTAAGGGGTTTTCAGGGTGTGAGAGGGCTGCAGCTGTGGCGAGGGGGCCAACTCTTGGCCAGGTGGAGCGGGAGGTGACACTTTCTCCAGGGGCTCTGTCCGGGAGGTGGGTTGTGGTCCCGCTAGAGAATACCTTTTGTCGTTGTGGTCTACTTTCTGAGAATGAGGGGCACCATGACCTGGAAAAGCAAAGAGTTAGGGCCAAGCACAGACACCTGTGGGTTTAGTCTGTAAGCTTGCCTGGGGAGGGGACCTTTTTTCCCCCTTTCAGTTAGGAAGATCCCACTGGCAGTAGTAAAGAGGATTTTTGAAGGAGATCATTTAACTCAGCAAATATGTAGGAGCATCAGGATACCAGGGCGGAAAGGGAAGGAAACATGGCAGACCTGGCCCTGCCTGACAGAGTTTGTAACTGAGAGAGAGGACAGGTAGACAAGTGTAAAGGCAGCGCTGTGGGCTCTGGAACCCTCAGCAAGTGAGGACAACAGATCCTCGCTCTGAGTACACAATCCCAGTGCTGAAGAAGTGATTTTGTGGTAAAACCCCTACATGGGCCGCGCTCAGTCTCTCGTGTTTCCTCCCTATGGTCCCTGTGCTGTACTTTTCATCCCCGTGACTTATTTATGTTACAACTGGAAGTTTGTACCTTTTACTCCCCTTCACCTATTTTGCCCATCCCCCAACTCTTCCTCTCTAGCAACCACCAGCTTGTTCTCTGTCTTGGTGAGTCTGTTTCTGCTTTTGTTGCTGTTGTGTATTTGTTCCTTCGTTTGGTTTTTTTTAGGTTCCACATATGAGTGGAATCATATGGTATTTGTCTTACTCTGGATGACTTACTTCACTTAGCGTCATACTCTCTAGGTCTATCCATGTTGTTGCAAATGGCAAGATCTCATTCTCTTTTATGGCCATTTGTGTGTGTGTGTGTGTGTGTGTGAGAGAGAGAGAGTTATATAATCATAGTTACATATAATATATATATATATAATATATAAATTAGTTTCTCATTTTTAAATTGTTGATGTTGAGCCAGAAAAGAGGTACACAAACTTTTTCTGTAAGGGGGAAGTGATAAATATTTTAGGCTTTGCAAGCTGGACTGTCTCTGTCCCAGCTCCTCAAGTCTGTTGAGGAGGTACGCGGCAGCCTTACCAATATCTACGCAAACGAGCAACGCTTGGTCTAATTAAACTACTGGGAGCCTTGCAAGTCTATTGGAGGCTCCAAGAGGACTTGGAATATCATACAATTTTTAGGTGTCGTGAAATATTATCCTTCCTTTGATTTTTCCCGAAGCCTTTAGAAATGCACAACCTCTTGTCGGCTTGTAGGCTGTACCAAAATGGGCAGAGGGTCCTATTTTGCCTGCAGGCTGTGGTAGGCTCACCCCTAAGTTAAAATTCTAACTCCGTCCACGTAAAATATCGATACGTCTCCAAACAGCAGTGCAGGTGCTGCTGGACCACGCAATCGTTGTGGTTCTGTGGCTGGTTGCTTGATTTGCATTTCATTTTGGTTTAACTTTGGGTTTGTTCCCCTTACTTCGGCATGCTTATTCTTGCTGCATCGTGTGCTGATTTGAAATGGAGTCCTGCACTGCCAAGAAGGTCACAAAAGAAGATTTAATTCCCCTGTGACTGCCGGTTATTTCATTTCTGGACATTAGAGGCGCTTTTATGAGCTCCACACCATATGCCATATGGAATATCATTATGAGCTCCCTAGAGCTTCTGTTATGGCCATCTGTCTGTGACTTCCTGTGTGGTTTCTTTGGCAGATGGGGACTCATCTATCAGAAATGCTTCTGTAAAGTAAGTTTTCAAAGCTCAATTCTAAACATCTGCCTCTGGAGTTAGATGTATATTTTCAAGGCTTAGACGTTGGAAGCACATTCATAATGATCGCTATTGTGAAGGCCCAGTTGCCAATCAGAAGAGTGTATTGTAGTCCATCACCAGGGTGACACCTGGACACAAGCGCGGCCAACCCTGCAAAATCCTCCCCAAGGAAAGCTCTAGAGTCTCCCATTTGGAGGACTCTGACTTGTTAGTCAGAACCTTGGCGTTCTGCCTGCACTAGGCCTCTGCTCTCAAACACACCCAGAATTTTCCATCCTAGTGGTAGGAATTATATTTGTCATCATATTGTGTATTTTGTTTTTGTGTCCCCAGTATCGAATACGACACCTAACACTTAGTAGGAGTTCAGTGAATTTTTGTTAACCTGAACTGAGATGTTGAATTATCCCCCGTGAGCTTCTAGATCATCTCTCTCTGCAGTATCAATGACAGGACTTTCACTCAACATGACATTGGTGATCAGTGGTAAAGGAACTGTTTGTCTTCCATCTCCTTTGTTCTGCCCCGGGTGAGGTCTTTCACTGCCCACACTGCTGACCTCCACCTGATCCTGTTGCCCCATATTTGGTGCCATGCCAGGCTAGGACTCTCCCCCAGATTCTCCAGAAGTTTCTCAGCACTTGCCCTCGGTGGACCAACCATAGTACTCCTTGGGGAACTGATGACCTCCTGCCAAGATTACTCCTCAGTGAGGATCCAAAGTCCCAGGGGGGAACCAACCAGACCGTCCTGCCCCAAAAGGGTGGGGATTACCCTTTGGAGGGATTCTCCCCTCCCTTTCTTTTCTCTTTTTAGCCCTCGGGTGGTCTGACCCTGTACTTCCCAGACAACTGAAGATCTCGGGCCAGGGCAGCTGCCTGGTGTGGTCTGAAGGTCTGAGGATGAACATGACCACTGCCCAAATGCCAAAGATTTGTCATTGTCGAGCTGTCAGTGGGGAATGTAGAGGCTACTTTAAGGCAATAGGCTTGAGCAATGGAAACCCGAGGAAGGGAAAAGGGCCCACAGTGACCACAGGGCTGAAAGCAAACAGCCTCATTAAGCAACCCACCTGGAGATAGCCATAGGCCCTACCTGCCCAATGGGCTGCTTACAACCAGGCACAGGTACCAAAAAAGGAAAATTCCATATGTTCCCATACCTCTTCACTCCCCCCATAACTATAGCCCCTCACTACCTCTTGTGGCAGAGTCTCTTTCTTCTTTGCTGTCTTGCCCACTCTTCCCTTGCTGTATAGTCAATAAACTCCTATCTCCTTAAAAAAAAAAAAAAAAAAAGAATTGTTTGTTATGTTGTCTTGGTGGCTGATTATGAATGTATATAAAGTTCATATTTATTTTGTGAAGATGAGTGAGATACTCAGAATAAAGCATTTTCAGATCTTCACATAAATGCATAGAATAGATCACCCAGGATCGCAAGATGTGGATGGATGAAAGTATCTTGACCTCTGAGTAAGAAGATCTTGACTTAAATACCAGCTCTTTACAAGCTCTAAAAAAACAAAACAAAACAAAACAAAAAACCACTTACTATCTTGGATCTATTTTGGTCTCTGAAACAAAGAATAATCCCTGCCCTCTCTTCCACCTTGCAACCTAGAAGTGATGTAAGAATTGAACAAGATAGTGTAAATGACTAAAGTTTACAAAATGAAAATTTGCAATGCAAATATAGGATTTGTTCATTCATATGCACATTTATGGCCCCCTAAGGACAAAGCACTGGGGAATACAGATGTGAAAACAAATAATTTTTAAAGGCAGACAAATGAGTTGGCACACAGGGAGGTAGCAGGAACGGTCCTCAACTTGAACGGGCTTAAGAATCAGGTGGAAGGTATGTTAAACATGCAGATTCCTGTGCCCCACTAGAGAGATTCTGGTGTGAAAGATCTGGGCTTGGGTACAGTATTCTATGGATTTAACAAACTCCCCAGGAGATTCTGATGTGGGTGGTCCATGGACCAGGCTTTGAGAATACCAACTTAGGATTTAGCAGGGAAGATAGAAAAAAAAAATCACTAACAACTTTCTTATTAATTTTAGGACCCCAAAATAGGCCTGCAATATTTTGTTAAAATGGTGTTCACGGCCGGTGAAGAAGTGAGAAACAAGTGAGATGATGAGATCAAGGGTACAACAATGGTACAATGGGAGTCTTCTCTCCTTACTTCCCACATTTTCTGTCCTTTCCACCTGTGACTGTAACCCTAGATTTCTTTTTTTTTTTTTAAGATTTTATTTATTTATCTGAGAGAGAGAGAATGAGAGAGAGCACATGAGAGGGGGGAGGGTCAGAGGGAGAAGCAGACTCCCTGCCGAGCAGGGAGCCCGATGCGGGACTCGATCCAGGGACTCCAGGATCATGACCTGAGCCGAAGGCAGTGTAGCTTAACAAACTGAGCCACCCAGGCGCCCAACCCTAGATTTCTTTTAGGAGTTGGCATATTTGTTAGGATTCAGTTGAGTTCTATGTGTTTACAAAAAAAAAAAAAACAAAAAAAAAAGTAATGGCTTACACAAGGTAGGAGTTTTTCTTACTGGAAAGCAAGGTCCAGAGATAAGTGATCCAGAGCTGGGATGGTGGCTCCACAAAGTCACGAGGGATCTGCTAGGTGACTTTTTAGTTCCTCATTCTATCATCCATAGGGTGTGGGACCCTCAACCTCAGGGTCCAAGATGGCAACTATAGCACCATAACTCACAGCATTTTTCCAGGCAGTGAGATAGAGATCAGAAAGGGCAAAAGGAGAATCAACTGTCTTTTAAGGAGACTTCCTAAAACTCATCATCCCTATGTATATCTCATTGGCTAAAGCTGCAGAAATGGGGCGCCTGGGTGGCTCAGTTGGTTAAGCGACTGCCTTCGGCTCAGGTCATGATCCTGGAGTCCCGGGATCGAGTCCCGCATCGGGCTCCCTGCTCGGCAGGGAGTCTGCTTCTCCCTCTGACCCTCCTCCCTCTCATGCTCTCTGTCTCTCATTCTCTCTCTCTCAAATAAATAAATAAAATCTTAAAAAAAAAATAAAATAAAATAAAGCTGCAGAAATGTATTGGTTATTCCCCAGGCAGCCACACACCATGATATAAATCAGTGTTTCTATTAGTAAGGAAGAGGGAAGAATAAATACATAATGAGGTAGGCAACCAGAAATCTCAAGCTCAGATGGGATCCTGGGGTTTGAAGCTTGTTTCACTCGGCCTGGGCCTCTGGCCACAGCGACTCCAGCTATTGCCTGATGTTGAAGCTCACGAAGAGGTAGCAGAGCAGAGAAAATCCAGTGGTGCTGGTGGGCAGACACAGATTTGGCATACACAGATTTTCTGAGTTGGTGGCATGAAAGTGCCCTCTGCCCTCTGTCTTCTAAAGTTTATTTCCCTGACCGTACCTGTATGGTTAAGAGATAGCCTACTGTTTGATTGACATCCCAGATTTAAGACTAAATAGCCCAATGACTTTTGGTAACTTAGCTGCCAAATGCTTTTGTTTTTATTTCTCTAAAATTGAGATACATTCTGATTTAGCTACGTTCCTCATAGGGTTATTTTGCTCATTGAATGCTATACGTGAAGTGCTTTTACACTTTAGGGTTAGATTCACAAATATATTATTTTGAAAAAAAAAATCCATCAAAGATAGGCTAAGGATTAATGAAAGTAGTTTGAATTATTTAAATTGGGTTCATATACCTAAAACTTTAATTTAAAATTTCCTATTAGCAGGTGACATGAATAATTAAAACATGTCATTTAATCCGAAGGAAATTCCTCTTACTGGATTTTTAATAAGATATCCAAACTATGAATATCTCAGCTATTGCCTCCAGTTCTTCCTGATTAATGTAGCTCATTAGCATAACAAATTCTCCCTCCCTCAGAACTGATCATTTTTTCTTGAAGGCCTTATCATAACTTCTTTGTATCAAACTCGGGTATCTTGTTTTTCTTCAATGAGACCCCTTCTTTTTATGTGTACATTTTAGGTGTAGCCAGATAGGAATGGGCAAAACATACATAACCACATTGGTTTCATTTTACAGATGGTGATTGACCAAAGTCAGCCCTTGAATGCACCTCTGCCCTTCATTACTCTACATGACCACTCACGCCTTCTCTGCTCTCCTCAGACCTCCAATCGCCCTTTGCTCTGGACTCACTAGCTGGACCTTGCTCTCTGGAATTTATGCATCTTGCGTAAGTGAAACTTTACAAGACTGCTCAGAAACTAGTTGAGCAACCATCGTCTTGTTATTTATCTTAATATAGTTCTGATGAACATGTACATAGTTCTACTAAAAAGGTGCCAGACAAATCCAAACTCAGGTTCAAGGTGCTGCTGCTTTATTCTTATGGACAAATCTACTCCCATGTTAGCAAGGTTCTGGGCTTGGCTCTAAATAAGAACCCCAGTTTGCAGACTACGGTTGAGGAGGCATCAGCATTCTTGCCTTCCCTGTAAATGTCTCTCTCATCCAAGTTGTGCTCATCTATCAAGGCGCAGCACAAACATGACCCTCTAAGCCAAAAGTGATTTTTTTTTCTCCCCTGAACCTGGAGACTAATTTATAGCTCTCCTGTGAGGCCCCACCTTACACTGATTTGACTTATAGTGGCTTGGATACGTATCATCTCTCCAGTAGACTGTAAAGCAATGAGCAGGGACCATGCCACATATTCTGTGTCTCCAGTGTCACTAAGGAATGAACCCTGGACTCATGTCGTGGCTTGTATTCACCTTTCATTCATTCACTGCATAACTATCAAGTGCTGACCATGGGCACTTGGGCCAGGCCCCGTCCTAGGTACGGGAGAGTGATAGAACAATGGCGAGCACGATTCACTCCCTCAAGGTGTGCAGCTCACAGCGCTGTCGGCAACGACGCTGGTCCATGAACTCTGGGTTACCTGTCTGCTCCGAGATCAGTCCAGAAACCGAGAGTAAGCACTTCGAAACTTTCAGAGCTATTTTATACCATGAAATCCAAGCACGTGATCAGTGTTAGCAAATGCGGTTTGAGGTTTGAGTTTTGTGTACAAGCGTGTTTTGTTTTTTTTTTTTAAGATTTTATTTATTTATTTATTTGTATATAGAGACACAGCGAGAGAGGGAACACAAGCAGGGGGAGCGGGAGAGGGAGAAGCAGGCTTCCCGCAGAGCAGGGAGCCCGATGTGGGGCTCGATCCCAGGACCCTGAGATCATGACATGAGCCAAAGGCAGACGCTAAACGACTGAGCCACCCAGGATGACAGAACAGCATTGTGGAATGATTATCCTGATGAAGAACTTGAACTGCTTTCTTCCTTGAGAAAGTCTTGCTATAAAGAAAACACGTCGGCTGAACTAAACAAGGTGCTTGGTGCTGTAAGAACAGTTGTGAATTTATGCAGAAATTAATGTAGTAAAGTGAAGATTATCCTCTTTATTAGTTTATGATATAGAAGCTGAGCAGAACAATTGTTAATGCTGAGAAAGGATGGGTTTTGAGGGGAAAAGTCTGTTGGAAATGTTTAAACTAAACTTGTAATGTTTCTGCAAGTAAGAAACCAGTCTTCCAACTTTTTCAAGATACCAAAAAAGCCATCTATACTTTCTTATTGTCTGACCTCTTCATGTTTTTAATAATCTTAATATTCCAGGCAAGGAGGGGAGCCTGGGTGGCTCAGTTGGTTAAGCGGCTGCCTTCGGCTCAGGTCATGATCCCAGGGTCCTGGGATCGAGCCCCACATCGGGCTCCCTGCTCAGCAGAGAGCCTGCTTCTGCCCTTCCCTCTGCCTGCCACTCTGCCTACTTGTGCTATCTCTCTGACAAATAAATAAATAAATAATATCTTTAAAAAAAAAAATTCCACGCAAGGAAAAAAAGTAACGTTTTTTTTTTAAGATTTTATTTATTTATTTATTTGAGAGAGAGAATGAGAGAGAGAGAGAGAGAGCATGAGAGGGGGGAGGGTCAGAGGGAGAAGCAGACTCCCCACTGAGCAGGGAGCCCGATGCGGGACTCGATCCTGGGACTCCAGGATCATGACCTGAGCCGAAGGCAGTCGCTTAACCAACTGAGCCACCCAGGCGCCCCATGTTTTTTTTTAATATTTTATTTTTAAGTAAGCTCTATGCCCAACACGGGGATTGAACTCATGACCCAAGGTCAAGAGTCGCACGCTCCTCCAACTGAGCCAGCCAGGCACCCCAGTAACATTGTTTTTTAATGACAGAAATAAACGAAAAGGCAAAATTAGAAGTTAGAAACCTGGAATAACAGAACTTTTATAAAAAAGTGTTACAACATTTCTCTTAACTCGGTACTAATTATCAATGAAATAGGTGATAAGCTAGCTAGTTCACACCTTTTCTTATCACCAGACAATTTATGAATTTGATAGAACATTTTGACTTTTATTTTCCATACAAAAGAAATTCTTAGAGCCAGAATCTATTTTTTCACCCAAAGATGATAGAAATTTAGCTAAAATTTTATAGAATAAATTGTTAAAACTGGCTGCTAATGAAAGATGGAAGAGGAATTATTGTGGATGAGTCAATAAATATCCTGAGCTTGCTAAAATTGCTTCAACATCTCTATCCCATTTCTGTCCACATACTTCTATGACACGAGTTTCTCTGCTTTGCTAATAAGACAAAATATAGGTGCTTAGATTTACACCCAGTAAGTGGTGTTGTCACAAATCTAACCTAATTAGCTAAATCAACAAGAAAGAAGCAGCTCATTTTTCCCATTAAAGACTTTAAGTATTGACATGCATATAGGTGTTTGTTCAAAGTGTTTGTTTATTTGCATAGAAGTGTTTAACAAGAGATAGACTATTGGGTCATTTTATAATCAAGCAAGCAAAGAAAGCAACTTCAAAGGTCATATGAAAAGGTAAGTACTCTCCCCCTCAAGAATGCAGACATTTCTTAGCAGGTATCTCTCATCCTTGGGCGGATTTAGAATTAAGAAGAGAAATGTTCAAGAGAATGAAGCACATACTGTTAATATTTACAGGTGGAGGGATCCATGCCGATTTGGGAGGAAGGCGGGACCACCACCTTTCTCCACCTCCCTCTCCCTTCTGGTCAGAAGGATTCCCCATGGCCCCTGGAGTGGGTCAGAGCTTCAGCTTCCGATTTGAATGAGCATGGGATTTCACTGTGCCCTCTTCACTTCCAGAGATGTGATCTGTGATAAGTTCTTTGCTCCTCTAAGGTTCATTTTTATCATCTATGGAATAGTACCCAACTGATAGCATTGTAAGGAGTAGAAAATACATGGGGATTGTTGGAACAGAGTAAGTGCTTAATAAAGAGCAGCTCCTCCAGCTGTCCATTGTTGAGTAACCACATGACATTTTGTCACGGAAAACAACAACCTTTTTATCTTGCTTATGGAATCTCTATACCAGGAATTCAAAAAGGGCACAACAGAGGATGTGTGCCACGATTACATCTAGGGTCTTAGCTGAAGTGACTGGAACAGCTGGAGGTAAACTGAATAGATGGAGCTGGGGTTGGGAAGGATCAACTTCCAAGATGGCTTCTTGACTCATGCATCTGGTGCCTGGGTTGGGATGGCTGAAGAATGGGCCCAGCTAGGATTGTTGACTGGAGTGCTCACCTATGGCCTCCCCATGTGGCCTGGGCTTCCTTAGAGCATGGCAACCTCAGGATAGTCAAACTACTTAGTGGCAGCTCGGAGCTCTTGGTATCACACTGTGCCAGTTTTAAATCATGGCCCCAAATTCTTTTTTTTTTTTTTAAAGATTTTATTTATTTATTTGAGAGAGAGAGAATGAGAGACAGAGAGCACAAGAGGGAAGAGGATCAGAGGGAGAAGCAGACCCCCTGCTGAGCAGGGAGCCCGATGTGGGACTCGATCCCGGGACTCCAGGATCATGACCTGAGCTGAAGGCAGTCGCTTAACCAACTGAGCCACCCAGGTGCCCATGGCCCCAAATTCTTGATCGTCCTTCCATTAAGACATCTCTGATGAAGGCTTTGAAGAAAAAAGATGCATGAATACTAGAAAACCTCCCAAAGTCTGGCATTTACTCCATGAGTAATGCAGTAGTAGGAGAAGTAGTAGAATAAATTATCAGGATTTTTGGGGATGGGCAATGTGTGAATTTAGGATTTAAAGATGTTGGGACTGGGTCCCTGATTTTCCTTGGCTCATAGTGATTTTTGAATAGGGCTGTTCCAACCCTCTCCTGCCTCCTCCTATCATAGAGTTTCTGCCTCCTGGGGTAATTTCTGCCCTTGCTGTGGCCACCTTGGCCACTGGCAAGCTCTACTCTTGCTCTCTGACTTCCTGATCTGCAAGCCTTCTTAGCTACTGCTCTGACCCCTTCTCTGCCTTCAGTTCACGCTGTTTTCTTCTGAGGCCATGATAATGGGAGGCCAGGAAACTCAAGGGAAGCCAGAGAGGTTTGTGTGCAAATGTGGAGAATGATGTGAATACAGATGGCTCAGCCTTTATTATAAGGTTAGCATCAAGTAAAATTACATATTTGTTTCTTACAACAAAAATACCTTTTTAAAAAAAGATTTTATTTATTTTTGTGTGTGTGAGAGAGAGAGAGCATGAGCAGGGGGAGGGGCAGTGGGAGAAGGGGAAGGAGAAGCAGGCTCCCAGCTGAGCAGGGAGCCCGATGCGGGGCTCCATCCCAGGACCCCAAGATCATGACCTGAGCTGAAGGCAGACGATTAACCGAGGAGGCCACCCAGGTGCCCCAAAACAAAAATATCTTGAAGACACTGAAGACTTTAAAAGCAGGGTGCTATGGTTTTGCATATACATAGTCACACACATTTACACATAAGGGTTCTTTTAAGAAGAATATCATTTACGCTGTTATTTTTCTTCTTTCTGGCAGGCATCCCTGGTTTATACCAATAGCTAGTCAGCTCTTAAAGGGCATTCCTGTTGTGGTTTATTAGAAGATTCAATACCTTCAAAGACTTAGGTCTTTCCCTCTCTGCCTACTGTACTCAGTGTGGGTAGAGAATAATGGGAATGTGGACAAGGTCACAGTCCCCTCAGCACTCCTGGCTCTGCTTGGCTTGTTTTCAAGTGACTTACTGATGTTTACCCAGAAGAATCAGAAGATTGAGTGGGTGAGTCTGGACGAATCATCACCACACCAGAGGAGAACTCAGCCCTATGTAAGCAGCACCTATCATCAGGAGATAATTTGGTGGTAGGGAATCTAGAAATCAATGGGAACTTCTCCCCTTAGCTTTGTTTTTTGTGTGTGTGTTCTCTTGGCATTCATCGATTTTGCCTCTCAGCTTGTGAAGTACTTGCACTTTGAGCCTTCCTTTTTTATTTGTGATTTTTATGACAATTATAATTGAGCTTCATGAAATCTCCTCTAGTCCTGTAGGCTTTTGGACATAGTCTCTCTGTTTGAGGTTAGGTCCAGAAGCTTCTTCCACATACATTTTTTACTTTAGGAGTTGTTTTGGAATTTCTCTGGAAACCACACACTGAGTCAGAACGAAACCTTTTTAGAACATCTCCCTAAACTGAATACCTTAGCAGAATGGATCCATCCAAGGAGCGTGCTTGAGGAAAAAGGTCTGAATGCCGTCTAGCTAAATATAGGGATTTGTCCTGCTGAGTGGACTGTGCAAGCTGAGGACAAAACCTGACGTGTTTGGGGATTTTTAGACGCTGTTATATTGGAGCGGAAGTAGAGGCTTGGGGGCAGTGAAAATAGAGAAGAGACCCAGCTGGGAGGACACAGAAAGAAGAATCTGGAGAGGAAGTAGTGAATGGAGAAGCATGGTTAAGCTTAGCTGCAAAGTGTGATGTAACCTTCCTAGACTCCCCATAAAATCTAGAAAATTGATATTATAGTTAGATCTTTTTTGCCAAATAACCTTTTTATTTTAGATCAGTTTTAGATTTACAGACAAGATGTGAAAACAGTACAGAGAGCTGGCATATACCTATCCCACACCCAGTTTCCCTGTTACTAATATCTTACATTAGTATAGGGCCCTTTTCACTATTAATGAACCAACATCAGTATTTTATTATTAACTAAAGTCCATGCTTTATTTAGACTTCCTTGGTTTTTTTACCTGATGTCCTTAAATTTTTTTTTTTTTTTCTCTTCCAGGATCCCATCCCATCCAGGATGCCACATTACATTTAGTTGTTATGTCTCCTTAGGCTCCTCTTGGCTGTGACGGTTTCTCAGACTTGCCTTGTTTCTGATGCCCTTGAGAGTGTTGAGGTGTACTGATCAAGCGTTTTGTAAAATGTACGCCAATTGGGATTCGTCTGATGTTTTCCATGATTAGATTGGGATTATGAGTTTTTGAAAGGAAGGCTATGGAGGTAATATGATACTCTCATCATAGCATGACAAAGGAACATACGACCGACATGGCTTGCTGCTATTGAAGTTGACCTTGATTACCTGTTTGTCAGGTTTCCCCACTGTAGTTATTTTCTGAGAGGAAGTCACTGTGCACAGCCCACATTTAAAGAATGGGGAGTTAGGCTCCGCCTCTTGGAGGGCAAACTAGCTATATAAATTATTTTGAATTCTGCACAGGAGACTTGTTTCTTCTCCTCATTTATCTATTTATTTGATCACTTATTTACATCAGTATGAACTCATGGATATTCATTTTATTCTTTGGATTATAATGCAATATTACTTTATTGATTTTGTTTCTCAAATTGTTCCAGCTTTGACCTTTGGGAGCTCTTTCAGTTGGCTCCTGTGTCCATTTGACATATCCCTTAATTGTGTGTGTGTGTTAGCACTTTCTGACTTTCTGGATCTTATCTATTTTCTGCCCAATCCTAGAATCAGCAATTTTTCTAAGGAGCCATGGTTTATTTATTGGAAAATGGTATCAGAAGCCAAGTTCTGGCTGCTCGATGTGCTTGTTGCTCCTGGGGGTCATTGTTTCTAGGCCCTCTCAGCTGACAGAACAAGAAGATAGATGTGTACCTTATCCTGTCTATACACATATCCATAAATATTTCTATATGTAGCCATCTATATATTAGGCTAAACATCCATTTATACTGAGGTCTCGAGCCCTGATCTATTATCACATGGGTGATTCTAGTCTCCTCCCCTTGCTTACCTCTAAACTCCCACTCTAACACTGAGAAACCAGCCATTTACTGAATTGCTCCATTTCGGTACAGATGGGTCATGGTATCAGAATTGTTAGCTTGTATCTCTGTGGGAAAAACTTTGTCAACTAGAGTGCGGTTTCTTCTACCTTTGGTCTTACAGGCTCTGCTCACATCCAAAGTTACTTAGGTCAGCATCTCTTTCCCCCAGACTCTGGGATGACGTTGTTTCCAACACCTGCAGTACATTAGACTGATTCATCACCTTCTGCATTCCATCCTAGAAGTCCCTGTCCTACAAAGTGTTTTAAAAATTTGCATGCATGAAGGTTCCTTCTTTGTGCTGTAGAGTTCTATGGGTTTTGGCAAAGGCCTAGTGTCGTGTATTCATCATGAGAGTATCATACAGAATAGTTTCACTGATGTTAAAAAAAAAAAATCCTATGCTTCACCTATTTCAGCCCTTCCCCAGCTCATGAAAACCACCACTCTTTTTGCTTTTTAAAGTTAGATTTTTGGCCAGAAGGTACAAAGGGGAAATGCATCCCAGTGCCGAATGTGGGCTCAAGATGGAAGGGGAGAGGGACAGTGGGCACCCTTGGGGCCCAGAGACATGTGGACCACCGCTATGGGAATCATGTTCATGCCCCAAACCAGAGCTGAACCCCCTACTTATAGTCATTTTATTCCACATTGATTTAAGAACATTTTATGGAATGCTTACTACGTGCCAAGTGCTAAGAAGACAATGAGGTAAGACAGGGTTCCCGGCCTTATAGAACATATGCTTTAATAAGTAAGTTGGAAGGAGGGTAAAGAAAAGTGTTTTTTCACCTAACTAAAATGCATTCAACATCTCCCACTGAAGCCTGATGACTTCTTTTCTGCTGAGGATCATGACAGAAGCTAAGAAATGTTTTATAGAGATAATTATAGATGAACTCAAGACTGGGGACTCCGGATTTAAAAAGCACTGAGCTGGATGCATCTACCATCGTGAGGTCCAGGCCTGCCAGCAAAGCCTGCGGTCTCTACTGTCAGGCCCGCCTCCCTGGCTAGGCTGCCCCCCACCCCCACCCCGCTAACCCAGACTCACTGGTTCTGAAGTCCTGAAGTCAGTCCGTTGTTGGGCACAATCCAGGGCAGGGCCGGGGCTTTCTATGTCAACTATGGATCCCCACATGGAAAGGGAAAATACTCCTCCCAATCTCACCCCGCTCCTTACCTGCTGGGGTCCCTTTTGTACTGTTTCCTCCAACACGGCTTGAAGGGAAACCCAGGAAGTCGAATAACGGAAAGAGCACCGAGCCAACTTCCAGGGAAACAGAGCCCTGTGCCAGGATTCAGCTGGGGGCTGTTCACTGAGGCTGGTTTTCCAGTTGAGGCTCTGTAGACCCCCATAGCCCATCCTGCCTCCTGGACACCTGATGGGCCCGGGGACGCGAGGGCAAACAAGCTGAGGTTGTGTCTCCCGCTGGGGCTTTACCACAAAAGGAGATGTTTAACATTTCTTAACGAAGGAAGACATTTCCATTGCCTGGAGCAAGAGGGCTCTTTCTTTTTTTAGAGTGTTTTGTTTTGGTTTTTTATTTATTGGTGCAAAATGGTGGTTTATTAAAGCACGGGGACAGGACCCATGGGCGGAAAGAGTTGCTGCACCCGGGTTGTGACAATGTTTGGTTTTTTTAATGGATAAACACCTCAGGGTGCTGCCCACTCCACAGGCTCCAGTTTTAATGAACTCTGCAGTCACTGGTCCTTGCTGGGATTTGCGGGAACTCTCCAAAGATCCCCCTAAAGGGGCCTGGCTAATGAGTACTTAGTCTGCAGCTTTGTTGAGCGTTTACTGAGTGTAAGCGGTGAGGCCTGCCGTTACCACCACGAATCAGACAGACGCCCCCCCCGGGACACCGTCTCTCCAACGGCTTCACAGAGCATCTGTGAGGTCGGTTTTACTTGGAGCTGCTCCCTCGGGCAGAGCCGGGGTGTAGGGACATAGAAACGAGGAACGTGGGTTAGGAAGCCCAGCTCGCAGCAGCGGGACCTTGGAAGGGTGACTTCACCTCGCCACGTCTCAGTTTCCTTGCCTGGAAAGTAGGAATAGGAGCACCCTGTCAGGGGATTTGGGGGAAGGATTAAACAAATTTAGCCATGTGAAGCCTTTAGAACACACTTCCTACATGTCTGGTACATAGTAAGTCCTCAAAAACTGTTTGCAGTTATAATTATGGTCTTTTTTTATGTACCAGCTTAAGTGCTTTACAGCCATTACATAATTCATGATGACACAAACTTTCAATTTACAGATGGGCAGAGAGAGACTCAGAGAGGTGAGAGAGCTTGCCCAAGGACACAGGAAGTGGCAGAGCCAGTGGGTGAGTCTAGAATCCACGCTCTCATGTTGCAGAGATCTGTGTTTCGTGGAAACGAAAACTCTTCCCTGCTAGCATTGTTATCCGAAAGTGTCAGTAGAAGATTGTGGAGGGGGTGGGGCGGGGAGCACCTGGGTGGCTGAGTCAGTTAAGTGCCTGACTTCCGCTCAGGTCATGATTTCAGGGTCTTAGAAGCACCCCACCCCCTCCATGGAGCTCCCTGTGCATTGGGCTCCCTGCTCAGCTGGGATCTCCTTGTCCCTCTGCCCCTCCCCCTGGTAGTGCTCTCTCTCTCTCAAATAAATAAAAATCTTAAAATAAAGAAGGTTCTCACACAGCTGTCATCTCAACTCCGAACAATTTTAAGACACCACTGATTTTATGAAGTATTCTGGATCGACCGGTTCCAATGTGAAAAATGAGTGTGTATTTATAGTTGATAAAATTAGTAAAATAGGGTAATATTATAAAACTTTTTCTGAGTACGTTCTATGAGTCAAGCATGGACATCCTTTCCATATTTTAATGTATTTAATCATCATAACAAACCTATGAGAGAACTACTATTATCTTTATTTTCTAGATGAGGAAATAAAGACAAATAGAAGTTAAATAATTTGTTTAGATCCCATAACCAGAAGCAGGTTCAGAATTTGATACCAAACTATCTGATTCCAAAACTCATGCTCTTAACCACCATAACGATATGGTCTGAAAGACTCAAGCAGGAGAGACAGAGTGCCTTGCAGGTGGAAAGAATGAGGTCAACAAAGGCTTGGGGGTCAGAAAGTGCATGAAGAGCTAGAAAAAAAAAGTTTCAGCTTGACCAAAGGGGTAATAGGAGAAAATGATAGAAGGATGGGGATTCAGATGTCAAGCCAAGGAATCTAGGTGGATCTAAGAGAAAGGTAAAGAGTGTAGACTTTAGTTTATAGATATGTGCATGTATAGGTACATATATGTGTTGGCATGTATTGGTATATATAGGCATCAACATGTGTGTATCTGTACATGCATGTGTTTATATGTATGTTTATATGTGCATATATATACTTTATGTGTGATATATATTTTATATGCTATATATCATATGTGCATTATAAATCTTATATATGTGTGTGTTACATGCTTATACATATATAATATGTGTGTATATATATTAGTTATATATATATATATATGTAAATCCCTCTAATTATAGCAAATTCTTCCCAGAAACTTGGTACATTTCTCAGAGAGCCAGGGAAGAAAAACACTTTGAAAATTTATATTAATGCATTTAATTCAACAAAGATACTTGTTTGACTATCAGTATATTATTTTGAGTATTACTCTTGTGGGAAAAGGGGCAATTAATTCTATATTTCTGTTATATTTTCAATCATTTTTGTGCGATGATATTATCGACAAGGTTTTTTATTATCTTCTTTATATTTTTTTGTCTTTTCCAAACCCAACATGTATTAGTTTTGCAATCAGAGGAGCGATGCTATGCAGAACATTCAATCTTTATTTAGGCACTTAAACATTCTGTCTTATTTGTAGTACTTTAATAAGGATCTTCAATTACATCATAGTAAGTGCCTCATGTCTATTGACACAACATCTTTCTTCTGGGGCGTGTCAACCTCATTTATTTAGAC